TGCCACCACACCTGGCTAATTTTTCTATTTTTTGTAGAGATGGGGTCTCGCTCTTGCTCAGGCTGGTCTTGAATTTCTGACCTCAAGCTATCCTCTTGCCTCAGCCTCCCGAGTGCTAGGATTACAGGTGTGAGTGACCTTGGCTGGCCTAATTGACTTTTATTAATGATTCGTGAACCAAGCAGCATCCAGTCTGCAAAACAGAAAGGAGCTCTGACGAGTTGAACAGAGGATGTGGGCTTTATTGGCTTTATTGGCTTTGTTGGCTTTGTTGGCTTAATGGGATTTGGGTATCATCTTTCTCCTGATCTCTCAGAAAGTCAGCTCTTACAAGTAAACAACTTAGGTTCAGTTTGGTGATATAGACCCTTGGCATGAGTGACTCCATTTTGGGTCTGCTGTCTTTTCTTTAACAGACTATAAGTGTATTTTGTATGAAAAATTCTTGTTAAAGTCTCCATAGTATTTCACTGTGTTGAATATACCATAAAATGCTTAACTGTTTTCATAATTCAAGTTATTCCTAGTGTTTTAGTAAGAACAATGCTGTAATGAACATCTCTATTCCTCACTATTCCTTGAACAAGCTAACCATGTCCTAACCTCAGGTCTGTTTCCTCTGATTAGAATCCTGATTTTCCCAGATAGCTATATAGCTATCTTGGGATATCTGACTAACTCATTTCTTTCTATAGCAGTTTTCTCATATGTTTCTAAAATTACAATGCCCAATTCCACTTCCCTGCTATCTTGCCACCACTGTCTAATGTACTATTTATTTTGTTAACTTTTTATTACTCCCCAGCTCCTCCAGTAGAATGAAAGTTCCATGAAAACAGGGATTTTTGCCTAGAACAATATCTGACACTTAGTAGGTGGTCAGTGTCTTTTGAACAAATGAAAGTGTGTATTAGGCAACAGTACCATACATTAGAATTTAGTGGGAAACAATTCAGAGGTTTTTTTTAAAAAATGCATTCTCAATTTCGCTGTTTTTCCAGGGTAGGGATGGCAGATAAAAGGTGTGGTTTTTTGTTTTGTTTTTAAATAAAGGCATTTCAGAATTCCACACACAAAATCCCATAGAATGTCTTAAAGTATAAAGATAAATTTTTTTTTTCTCCCTCCCCTAAAGATAAATTTTGATGTTAGTATAGGCGCTGTGATATAATAGAAAAAAACATTGGATTTAGGACTTAGTAAATCTAAGTTCTGGTCTAGTTCTGCTACTCATCTTGGTGTTTGACCTTGTATAAGTCATTTATTTGCTTTGGATCTACTTTTCATCTAAAAATTGTTTGGCAAATGACATTTCTGATGTTCTATTTCTTTGCGTTTTGATTTGAGAAGCTCTCCAGTACATTTTGGTATTATTTTAAAATTATCATCAATTACCCAAAGTTGTTTATTAGAAAAATAAAGGCCAGTTTTATAGTCAAATTAGTTAAGCTTGTACATCCTTCAAGATCTTCCTTTTACTTCTTTCATACAGCTATCAGATATTGTGAAAAATGTCAGTTGATTAAACCTGATCGGGCGCATCACTGCTCAGCTTGTGACGTGTAAGTGTTACTCATTTGCTTTCGTTTAAACCTAGCACTGGAAATAAGTGATGGGAGGCTAGAAGGGGAAGAAATATTTTATATGCTGTATACTTAGCAAAATACCTCATCCTCTCCCATTATTTGCTATGCACACAGAGCTAGCTAACAGAAATACTTACATGAGCTAGAATATACTTAGAAGTAATCTTTGTTGATAATTTCTATACCAGTTGATAGAATTTTCTTTAAATATGCTTTCCCTGCTTGTACTTGATACAATATTCATGAGCAAGTATTAATAACCCCCTTGAGAAAGAAAACTTTATTTGCTGGATTAAAAAGGCCATATTGATAGTTTCCTTATTTTTATTAATACTGATATTAAAACCTAAGAAAACCACCAAAGTAATTTCATTATTGTTTTAAATTACTCTCTGTGACATTTCTCCTAGAAAAATTTGAAAAAAACTTAAGTCTACGTGTGCATGTGAGAAAGTAATATGTTGAAGGAAAGATCACTAGTTTGGGAATCCCAACTAATCCTTGATTTTTAGCTAGAAGCTACTTAACTTTCTGGGTATTAGATTACTCATTTGTTGTATTATTTGACATAATCTGTAGTCTAACTTTATATAAATATAGAACCTGTATATTAGTAGGGAGGCAAATTTTGAGTTTTGTATTGTTATTCCTTATTATAAAAATACAGTAGTACTTATTCATGGGGTTAAATTTTATAAAACATGTGGAAAAAATAACCGTCTCCAAGCCCATCAT